GAACTATTATGTCACTGATCTGAAGTAGTGTGGCAAAAATGACGTCACTGCAAAACTGAGGTTTCATGAAGCTTGACAAAATTTTGAACTATTATATCACTGTTATCAAGCCGCTTATTACCTGTAAACCAACATTTCAAGAGGAAAAGTGACACATATTTTTGCAAACATTTTTGATTCTGATTGGCTAGCATTTCTTTTCAGATCAGCTGGTCGAGCTTGGCTCTTTCTCAAAGCTTTAGAATTATTGTAGGATCTGTTAAAGTGCGGATCGAAAAACCGTGGGCACCTAGAAATATTTCAAGAATGTTTAATCAGCCAATCAGAAGCGTTATTGTTGTCTTTCCGTTATCTTGTGGTTAGAAAGTCAATTCTGATTGGCCGGAAGAAAGAAGAATAGAATATTCCTAAAATATTTCTAGGTGCCCACGGTTTTTCGATTCGCACTGTAAGATGCAGCAGCAAGTCTTGGTCTGCTTGTAATAACATACCTGTTCTGTTTTACCTTCCCGTAGTATCACCAGTAATGATTGTCTCTCTAAACGACACACTCGTGGTCGAGCGAGGAAAACAAGTCACGCTTATTTGCAAAGCCGCTGGTGATCCTGAGCCCGCATACCTATGGACCAAAGATGGCGTAACACTGACAGGCAACAATCACGTGCGTTTCCATAACAACAACCAAATACTGGTTCTTACTAATGCAGCAACTAAAGATAATGGTGTTTATACGTGCTTGGCATATAACGTAGAAGGAAATGTGTCTACCAGTACGAATCTAACTGTACATGGTAAGTGGACCTTTATAAATCGACCAACCTGCTAACGACCGGTCGTTCGGTCAGAGAAATAACATTGGTTTCTTGCTGAACACGATTGATTCTAGCCTACGTATTTATGATGTTTGGGCTACCTGTGAGAGACAACTGTGACAGACACAGGTAGCCCAATACATAGCTTTCGTATCTACATCTAATCTATTACTAATATTATTAAAATATTATTAAAACATTGAAATGTTTTTGTTTTTAGCTACGGTATCCATGATACAAGGCCTTCAATCGCGAACAGAAATCCTAGAGAAAAAAACCTTGTCGTTAACATGCAAAGCAGATGCTATTCCCTTACCGAGCGTGACCTGGTACCGAAACAGCCAAGAAATCCAAGATGGCGCCGATAGAGGATGGAAAATCCGTTCAAACAGGTTTGATTCGACGTTAACCTCGACGATATCGCTGCAGAACGTCAGCTACAGTGACAGAGGCGACTTCACTTGTGCTTTCTCTAATTATCGAGGACACGCTAGGAGTACAGGACGTGTGGTTGTACAAGGTACACAGAAAATGGTTGTTAATCTGGTTACTACGTTTGTTATGTCGAAGGAATAACCATAATTAAACGAGATTTGGGGGAAGGATTAATAGTCATGGCTTTGAGACTCCCTTGAAAAAGAAAGAGTCCCTTGAACAAATGGGCAACTAAAAAGGGCGGTTATGTGAATGACGCCTGGTTCCTTTATTTTCCCGCCTTTTCCTCAACGCATCTTCACGTGAATGCGTAAACAAAACTTTCCTTCTTTTTCTTTCAGTCCCACCAGTGATTCTTCAACCACCAACTTCTATCTCAAGACTTTTGAACAAAAACGTCACATTCAGCTGTTCTGTGCGTGGATTCCCCGAGCCTACTATCACGTGGTCAAAAAATGGCGTATCTTTGAGCCAATCAGATCGTATCAGTATTACCATCATAAGAAAAAATGCGTCGATTGAGTTGACTAGCTATTTAAAAATCTTTAATTCTCTAAGGCAAGACACTGGTGTCTATATCTGTAACGCAAGTAATATTGTCGGTGCTGCTACAAGGCCTGCTACTCTCACAATTCTCGGTACGTTTGACTTCAGAAATTATCTTCACTCCTCTTTGTGTTTTTAATCATCCTTGATATAGGCGAAGAAATTTAATATGACARTGCTTTTCAATTGCTCTTTTACTCACTCCCCACGCCACTACATTTCACTATTTACAAAAACCAACACGCAACTCACATGTTGATTTTTACGGAGGGAGGAAAACCGGAGAACCCGTAGAAAACCCCTCGTGGCAAGCGAGAGAACAGCATATCAAACAAACCTTATTCACGTGTAGTGCCCGCAGGAATTGAACCCGCGACCCGACCCATAGGAATCACAGTGGGGCAAAGCAAGCGTTTTGCCGCTACGCCGCCTTGCTATTATGCTTTATGATCATTATGTTATAACATTTGGTAAACTGATGTACGCAACTTCTTAATTCAATAGAAAAACCAGATCACCCAGTCCTGTTAGTTGCTTCACTTACAGCTACAACAGCCTTGTTACAGTGGAATATCACGTTTGATGGCAACTCACCGATCAGATATTACACAATATCCTACAATAGTAGCAAGGGCGCATGGTCTATTAATATTACCGCTGACCAATCTAGGGAATACACGTTTAAAGGACTGTTACCAGCCACCCAGTACACATTCCGCGTCACCGCTACTAATGACATTGGTACTAGTACTGAAATAGAGAGCATGGGGACCACGCTTGAATCAGGTAAATTTTCTGGACGAAAAATATTCCGCTCGTGGTCACGTGACACTTGCTATGTTTCCTTAAAAACAATATATTTTTTTACCAAAGCGTATTTTTTTCGATATTCTATCCATAGTAATGGGCCTCTTTAACCTTGTTAAARAAAGAAATATTACTCAAGAGAATGATGCACGGTTTCAAATGGGAGAACTATCGAAAATTGCGTTTATTAACTTTCTCTTCATTTATTACAGTGCCATGGCAACCAAGGAACGTCTACGCCCAGTCTCTTTCGTCCACGTCTGTGTTTGTCAACTGGACCATTCCCGCCAGGACTAATGGCATCCTCACTCGTTACGTGGTATTCGTACGAGCTGTCAATCAAACTATTGAGAAGGAAACCAATATCACTGTTGAACCATCGTTAACTAATACGACCATTGACCGTTTGATGCCATATACCTACTATGAGGGGGAGGTACAGGCTTATACCAAGATTGGTGGCGGTAATAGAAGTCGGTCTTTTGACGCAGTACTCACCTTTGAAGATGGTAAGTTATTGTTCTTCAGTTTGTGTAGTTGATTTTTTATCTCTGGTGGGCTTCCTGTGGTAATTGACTCAAAAAAAAAAATCCTCGAAATTCCTGTTTCATTGTTATGTATATCTCAAGGGAGTTTGAGTCATGTGGTTGCAAACCAAGAATAACTAGTTATATCGTCGAGCATGCGCAGTAAGAAATAGCGTGCTATCAATTATCCAGCAACACACAGATTATCATTATTCGTTTTTCAAACGTCTCTTTGATTTTAGTCCCTAACGCACCAAGAAGACTTCGAGCAACGCAATCCACCTCTACTTCCATCACATTGTTATGGACAAGGCCAGTCAATGTGAACGGAATTCTCAGAGCTTATCGCAYAAACCTTCGTGAACATTTGAATAACAATACCATGACATTAAATGTCACGCAAGACATCAACGAAGATACCGTGACATACACCGTCACAGAATTGCGTCCTTATACCGTTTACGATATATCAGTAAGTATATGGTTGTACCTCGTTGACTGCTATTTCAAAAATGGTTTAATGTATGAGCCGTAATCTGTTTCCTGCTCATCTTTCCATTTTTCGTTTTTCCAGGTTTACGCCGTGACGATTAATACCGGCAATGGCAGTAACACCATCGTCTACTCCACTGATGAAGATAGTAAGTGTTTTTTTTTTTCTCGGTCAAAGGAACTTTAACATTAAGTAAAAATTAAGTAATGATTCGTATAGGAAAGAATACCGCTCAAGAAGAATAAAGAGAGCCAATGAATGTGTTATTATATACGAACAATAAATCGAAATTCTATTGGATCATCTTTCAGAGCCTGGAGAACCACGTGACATCAAGGCCAAATTCAACGGAGAGGTCTACGAAGTGACGTGGCATCCACCGCTGGAACCAAATGGCGTCATTATCGAGTACAAGGTTTTATTTCAACTTGATCGAACAGTATCCGTGGAAAGTGACGCCCAAGATAAAGAATTCATCGTAGAGGGAGGAAAGACAAATCTTAAGGTTAAATTAACAGATCTGAATGGTGATAAGACATATAATATAAGAGTTCAAGCCAGAACGAGTAAAGGATATGGAAGGATTAGCACCAGTTATTCCACTATCAAGACCAACATCACCAGTAAGCATAAACTATTAATTTGTATCCCTCATATCGCCTTTATTTCTTCGTTCGCTCGTTCGTTCGCTCTTTCGTTGGTTGGTTGGTTGGTTGGTT